GACGAGGAGGAGGGGGAGAAGGAACGAGGACCGCGAAGCGCGAATAACTTCGCGCCCTCGAGGGAGCCCTTGTTCATAATCCCCACCGAGGAGAAGTGCCCACGTCCGAGCGGGACGAGCACCAGCTCTCGGGAGGTCCGCGCGGGCCTCCGGGGTCGGCGCTGGGGCCTCTCCGTCGGGTGCGGGGGGCGGGGCCTGGCGCCCGGCCAGGAGAGGCCCGCGCGGACCTCCGAGAGTTCTCCGGTGACAGCTCCTCGGGAGCCTCCCCTGCCGTATTGCTGGCTGGCCCTTGCGAATCGACCCTGACCGACGCTGACCGATGTCGACCGCTCTGATCGACGCTGATCGACGCTGAATCGACACCACATCGAGGCTAAATCGGGGCTAATCGACGCTTCCCCGTCGACTGCCTGACGCTAGGGCACGCTAATGCACTCTAGAACAGGTCCCTGCACAGACCTTGCAGACGTGCTGCAGCGGATTGTTGCGTGGATTTCTGTCAGCGCGAAACCCCGAAACGGCGAGCAAAAAACGAAGTGGATTTTACGTGGATTTGTTGTAGTCTTCATTCCAGGCCAAACAAAAACCACACGAAATTCACTTCGAAATCCGGATCGAAATTCTCCAGGACAATTCGGGCCGATCCCATTGTTTTCCGATGTTGGCGCCGTGAAACATGAAGCTTCGAGGACCCACAAGGCTCCCAGAATCTGCTGCCGAGAAGCTCGAGGCGTGCCGCCCCGTGCTCTCTGCGGCGCCCCCCGTGGAGGGGAAACCAGCAGGTACCAGTACCGCTCCTCTAAAGGGGCCCAGGGACGCACAAACTCCCCACATTTTCCAAGATGTTCTGGGCTCTTGTCTTCATATTTTCCTCGGAGTCGACGATCAATTGTGCCTGTGTTTTTGTCCCTCCTTATCCTCCCTGGACCTCTCCTGGGGCGCGATCTGACCAGAATCTCGAGGCGCATCCGGCGGTGGTGACGAGGGTCTCCCAAGAGGCCCAGCAAGGCGAAAACGAGGCGAGGGTAGCGGCATCGGTACAGTCAACCCGCATGATAAGGACGCACGACAAGGATGTAAGGGCCTTGGAGGGCAGGGTCGACGCTTTGCGAGCGGGGCGCGGCCAGCGAAAGCGGCTAAGGACGGGCCGAAGTGGACGGATGCACGGGTAATCGTGGAAAGCTGCTCATCTTAGGAGGAGGTCGAGATGGTGTACCACCCTCATTCCCCGTGTTGAGGGTGGGTGTTGAAAAAACTGGTGGGATGTTTCCCCGCGAGGCGCGCCAGCCGCAGGGTGGGTGGGTTCAAAAAAAGCCAACGGAGCTTCCCCGGGAGTTCGCCGAGGGGGGGGGGGGGCACGTCAAGCTTCTCGACCCCCTCATCTCACACTTCCTGTGCGGGTGGACTGCACCTCCTCCTCCCCTGACATGGGGCCTCCTCGCTGGCGTAGCGGCCGGCCGCGCTTTCCGAGGAGCTGCGGCGCCGGCCGCGCCGCACGGCGGGCCCGCCTGGGACCCGCCCCGCCTCCGCGGCGTGCGTCCGCCGCTCCGGCGGCGCCCTCGCCAGGCAGGCGCCGGTGCCCATGCGAGCGCCGGCCTCTGGCGGGGAGCTCCCCAGCCGCGGGGGCGCAACGGCGGGGGGGGCCCCCGACACGATCCTCGGCGCGGCCTACGAGACAGACGGCTCTCGGGTCCTGTTTGCTCAGGCCCCCCCCCACGCGCCCCCCCGGCCAGCCACGCGTGCCCAGCCCGACTCAGTGCACAAAGCCGGGGCAAACGAAATGACCCGGGTCCATCCAAGCCCAGGTCGGTCAGGCTCTGCAGGATCCTGCAAGAGCCTGCAGGATCCTGCAAGCCTGGGTCAGTGCACCCCTGGCTCTGCAAGATCCTGCAAGATCCGGCGCTCTGACTGACCCCCGTCTGCATGGACCCCCGTCTCTTGAGCCCCGACTCTGGCGGGTGGTGCCGACGGCCACCTGCCAGTGGCCGCCCTGTGCACCTGCGGAAGGATCGGCGGCCCGTCCAGGGGAGGGGTGGGCCTTGTCAGAAGGCGCGGAGGTCTTCGCGCCTTCCGAGCAGTTCTCTCGGCCTTCCCCGACGACACGAAGAAACTTCTCAGAAGGCCGGAGGGCTTCTGAGAAGCCCTGCCGCCATCTGCGACGGCCTTCTCCTTCTCACTGCCCCACCCCCTCGCTCGCCGCCAAGAGGAGCGCTGGGGCGGCGCCGCAGCCGAAGGGGCTCCAGATTTCACCGCGCGTACGAAAGTGCTTGCTACGTCGCTGTCTCTTTCTCCTCCTCCTCCTCCTCCTCCTCCTTCTCCTCCTGGTCCCCCCCCCCATCCTCCTCCTCCTCCTCCTCCTCCTCCTCCTCCTCCTCCTCCTCCTCCTCCTCCTCCTCCTCCTCCTCTTCCTTCCAAGCCGCCCACCCCTGCAGCAGTCGAGGCGCAGCCTCCAGAACGCAGCTCGGGAGCACGAGCCCTTTCGCCGAGAGCCCAGGGCCCCGTGGAGATGCCCCAGACGACGACCATGCCGGGGCGGAGGGCCCAATCACGAGAAAAACGTCTTATCAGGGTCGGACGTCGGGCGTCGGCCTGCATCATGCACCGCGGGGGTGCCGCATGGTGGGGCCGAAGCACCCCATCATTACCAGCAGACGTGAAACAACACCCATGCATGGTGATACTATGCAAACAAGCTAGGGTGAGACAAGATTAACAAGGTAGGGTGAAACGATGGCAGCACCAATAACTTACAACAAGGGTACCCCTCCAACGCTAGGGTTGTTTGAAACCCTCTTGCAAGCTGTACAGTTTCCTTCCTGGCACCCTTACTGGCCTCTTGGGAGAGCGTAAGAGAAAGAGAGAGAGAGAGAGAGAGAGCTTACAGCCCCCAAGGGAGGACCCCCGAGGATCTCTTCAATGGATCCCTGGGAAGTAAATGGAACACATTTGGATTTGAGCATGGGGAACATTGTACCGCATTTCATTATTCTCGCTTCCACATCTTTTGAGATTGATTCGTGAAGCAGTTAAAAGGCCTCATGGCGGCCCCAGGAGGCCTCAATTCACTCCCAAGACGGCCCCGACGAGGGCCTCAGGGCAGCCCGAGGAGCTCCCTGATTAGATGGCCACATGCGGCCTAAAACAATTCTAAGAGAGGGGAGCAAGGCCCGCCCAGACGGTCCCCAGGTGATTCTGCCAAGCCTCGTCGGGAGAGCCCGCGAAAACCATCGCGCCCAAGACGGCGCCAGGGCCCCAAACGAGACCCCGAGAGCAGGGAGGCGCCCCCGGGAAGGCTCGACCCTCACTCTGGAGGTCTATCCCCTGACCAACGAATGCTGCAAGGGCTCTTGAAAGCCCTGGAGAGGGATGCCAGATGTAGGGGAACGAATAATGGCATAAAAACTCTGGGGTCCGCGCGGATTTCTCGGATCCGCGCTGGACCCCCTTGGCGAGAGTTTTTATGTTTATGTCATTATTCGTTCCCCTAAGATGCCAACAACTCATGAATTCGGTCGGTGGCCCGTGCGTGCCGTGCCGTGCCGTGGCGCCGTCCTGTGAGATGGTGCCGTAGCGTGCCGCGGGGAAGCAGACGGCCACGGTCAAAACGTCGTGGATCGGTCGCAAGCCTTCGCTGTGCTGTGGCGTGCCGCGGTACCGTGCACGGCACCGTGTCGTGGCACCGCGGTGGCGTACCGCGCCGTGCCATGGAGCTGCCGTGGTGTCGTGCCGTGCTGTGTCGTGGAATCGTGTCGTAGGGACCAAATGCCGACATCTCGCAATTCGGCCGGTGTCCGCGTGCGCCGTGCCGTGCCGTGCCGTGGGGTTCAATCCGCCACGCCTCGTGGCTGTTTCGGTCGCACCTGCCGTGCTGTGCCGTGCCGCGGTGCCGCATCGCGTCGCGGGGGTCGGACGGCTGCAACTGGTGGCTCGGTCGGTCTCGCGCGAGCGGCTGTGCCGTGAGGGTCAGACGGCTGCAACTGGTGATTCGGTCGGTCGTGCGCGAAAAGCCGTGCTGTGGTGCTGTTGTCAGCATCGCGAGACATCGTGCGACCAATACGATGATATGTTTCAGACTCCCTCACTTGAGAGCACCTGTGTAGAACATGCTGGCTAAAGCCGGAACGGCTACGTACGGAAACTGACTATACAATGTCTGGCACATAGCTGGCAACAAGCGCACACGACTTAGAGGGAGTGGGCAAGGAGAGACAGCGGGACCACTTTTCGTGGGACAGAGGTCCATCCCCCTCATTCCCCTCAGCGATCTCCAGACTAGCGTACACGGGACTGGACACCAGGGACTCGCAGCCGGGGCCCTCCGATGGCTTCTGGATGGCTCGCTTCGAGGCTGATTTCGTCCTGGACTTGAGGTGCTCGTTTAAGGCTCGCTCGCTCATGTGGAGATCCTCGTCTATGAGTGTGAGGGTGCCCTTTCTGAGATGGTCGTTCAACGCCAAGTTCCCCTTAGCTACGTCCGCCTTAGTTAGACAGTCTGCTGGCATGAGTCCGTGCGGGACCCATCTGATTTGCGATCCTAAGGAGGATAAGCTATCTCTGATGACTGACATATCTATATCGCGTTGCGCCTGTCTGCCTTAGTGCCGGCGCTATTGCGGGTCAGAACGTCAAAGACCGACTTAGCGTCGACGACCGACACTGACGACACGCCCCCATTGAGAGAGCAATCTCGGGGGAGGACGAGAGAGAAGGGTGCCTGGCTGAGGTGCCGGTCGGGCTTGCTCACGTCGTTGAAGAGCAGATCCCGCCACATTATCTGCAGCCATTGAGACTCGGCCACCGCAGAGGACAAGCTCAGCGTTTCTGCTGCAGCGATTGACGAAACGGCGCGCTTAATCCTCTGGGACCTCCAAGAAAGCAAGGACACTTTTGCTCGATGATTGCTCCTGATGCTGCTGTCAGCGGCCAGGACAAGGAAAGCGCCTTGCGCGCCGCCTCGCCGAGCTGACCCCGGGCCTCCTGCGTCCGGTATAGTCACGAATGTGACTGATACGGGATCTAACTGCCAGATAGTCAAACGTTGACTGGCAGTCGACTTGAGATGTTTACATGCTTTGATCACAAGCTGGGCGTCTGCGATCGTCGGACTCGGTAGTGCTGCGCTCTGCAAAGACGCACAGCCTGACACGTCAGGCCTCGATTCTCGAGCGACCCACTGGACCTGAGCGATCATGACTCTGTAAAGCTTGACCTCACTCGGGGTCAACGGGGAGGAAGGGTCCGAGAGACGAGATTTCTCGAGCCGCATCGGCGTGAGTTGCTCCTGGATGTATTTCTCCTGGTCGACGCATATTTTATTATCGTGCTGCTTAACGTGGCGACCTGCGTACTCGGCCTCGCCCTCTTGCCATTTTCCAAAGTGAAACCTGGCCTGCATCTGCTCCTTGAGGGAAGAGCGCATCGAGGGATGAACCGCCACCAGGAGGTCGTCGATCTCTATGAGAATGACCGCTCTAAGCTCGCCTTGGCCCGAACGAAGCGACCACAGACAGGGGTCCAAAAGAGACTTTCGAAATCCGATCGAACCGAGCCAGTCAGTTAAAGTTCGGTGCCAGAGGACCGGGGCGTCGTTGAGCCCGTAGACTGGAGCTACAAGCTCCACGAATTCCCCGGGGGCCAAATTTAAGCCGTGACATGGCTCGCAATAGACAGCTCCCTTCGGGCGATGCAACGGGTCGCTTTGACAGAAAGCGTTCTTTGCGTCCGCAATCTGAAATTTCCAGCCTAACGAGGCGACACATTGCAAGGTCAAGAGAACGGTCTCGCTCTGAGGAGTTGGAGCGTACACGTGAAGCTCGTCCGAATCTGGGTCTTGATGGCCCTGCGCGCACCATCTTGACTTTGCCAAGGGGTCCGAACCAACTCCCTCTTGGGGTATGAAGCGCCTCGCCATCCTGGATCCCAGAATGCGGTCTGGACACCGTCTTCTGATGATGAAAGCCTCCGAGGCTGGAACCGCACGCGCCGCTCCGGAGCTCAAAATGGCTCCCCACTCCCGGGCATCAGAAAAATCAAACAGAGCCCTCTCGCGAGGGGACTAGTTTTTCAAGGAGACCTCCGCTCCTCTACGAGACGGAGGCGCAGCAGTGCTGGGTCCCCGGCCTGACTGGTCGGCTGCGAAGGCCTGAGTCGACTGGGGATCCCGGTAAAAGTCGGGCGAAAAGCAAAACCAGGAGCACAGTTCCCCCCATAGTTGCTCTTCTTGCTCCTCGTCCTCGGTCTGGGCCGACCAAAATGCGAGGCTAGGAACCGGCGCGCCAGAACGAGGCGTGAAACCCCCTTCGACGTATCCAAAATGGCCTGACGCCGATGCTCCTTCTGACGGCCCGCCTCTCTTGGGCGAACGCGAGCCCTCTCTGGCAGCGGGCTGAGAAGCCGGAGGTGGAGGGGCCTGAGCTGCCCTTTGTCTTAAAATGCACATCGGGACGTCGCCACCTCCCGCGCCTCGAACGACCGGCCTGGGAGGAGCGATGGTCCCGGGCCTGGCATCAAGCTCGGCAACCTGCTCTTGTACCCGCCCGGGAGCCGGAGGACCCATCTGTTCGACTGGGGTGATCCTGGGGCGA